TGGCAGCTGCATCACATTGTTGAGCTGAATTTCCAGACACTGTGCTGAGAAACAGCACCTGTGCCTTGTTTCCTAGCAGAGTTGTGCTGCCCCAGCCCACCAAACAGCAGTTCAGTGGCTGGTGGCGAGCACAACTCTGCAAAGAAGCCGGGCACATGATCCCCGTGTGCCCTGTTTCTCAGTGGAGGGTGCCCTACCCTGGAGGCCATGTGCCAAGTGTGGGGGACACATCTTTTGTTATTTTATTGCATTTCTATTCCACCTTTCTCCCATTCGGAACTTAAGATGGCTACATGTGGTTCCCAGGTGATTCTCTTCCAAACATTGACCAGACCCATGTGCCTTCAGTGAGATGCAGTCAGTGGGCTATGTGGGCTCCCCCTGGTCTAAGGGCATGAATTAGTCATGCCTTTCTGCACCTACTGGAATGCAAGCAGAGGAGTTAATGACATATGGGACATGTAGATAGCTGCAGCCAATAATTTAGCCATCCCCCACATGATCTCATGTTTCGCTATTACTGATAGCTATTATTTATTATATAACTTGTGAACCACCCAGAGAGCCTTCTGGCTATTAGGAGGTATATAAATTAAATAAATAATCTTCTGAAGCACCGTAACTTGAACCTTATACTTTCTCCTCAACTGTGTATGCACTAGATTCAGATTGGAAGACAGTGAAGAATTCATTTTTTGCATCCATCTTCACCAGGTAAGTAATTGGATAAATACATAAATTCAGGCACGGTTATCTGGAGACAAAATCTCACTTCACTTAGCTTATTTAAAGAGAAGTCTAACAAATCACCAGGTCTGGTGAGAATATACCTAAGCATTCTTAGAGTGGACAGTTTACAGATGGCACCAAATTATTCAGGATAGCAAAAAATGAAAGCACATTGCCAAAGGCTCCATAAAGGATCGTGTTAAACTGAGTGAACAGGCAACAAAGCGGCACATGTGTTACAAGGTAAGCAAGTATAAGGTGAGGCAAACATCACACCTTCATATGCACATTGCTGGGATCAAAACTGGCAGTGACTAACCATAAAAGTAGTCTCAGGTGCAAGGCAGACAGCTCAATCACATCAACACAGCATATAACAGCAGGGAAAGAGGCACATTCTGTATTGGGAGCCATCAGGAATGGCCCTGTAATGAAACTGCTGCTATGGCAGTGCCATTTTTCAAATACATCTAATATCATACTTGGAATACCAGGTACTTTTTCGCTGCCCCTCCTCAAAAGGATGCCACAGTGCTGGGAAAGGTGCAGAAAATTAACAGTAGGCTGGTATAACTTCTTTACAAGAAAAGACTAAAACATTTGTGTTCTTTTTGTCATTTCTTGTACTGTCTGTTTTTATCCTCTATTTTTAGTTGTTTGAAACCTTTTTTCCTGATTTTCCTGATGTTTTTATTGTACTTTTATCATTTGTTTTGATGGATTGTGTAAACTGCCCAGAGAGGTTCAGCTGTAGGGCAGTACAGAAAATAACAGAAAAAAACAATGACATGCGGGGCAGAAGTAGGTATGAAACAGTACTCTTCCCCAAGCTGAAGCTGCAGATGTTTTAGATGCCAACTCCCACTGACTCCAACCAGTGTGGCTAATTGTTAGATAGTCAAAAAGTTGTTGTCCAAAACATTTGGAGGGCACCAGATTGGAGAAAGTTATAATAGGGGTTTATTGAAATGTGTAGTGTAGAGAAAAGGGTTTCACTTCCCCCAAAACACAAGAGCTCAGGGTCCTAAAGAATACAGCTGGTAACAGATTAAAGAGAAAATATTTCTTCATGTAGTGCATATCTAATGTAATTCAATGCAACAAAATGCAGCGAGGGCCACTGGATAAAAGTATTTTTTAAGATAAATTCACGGAGGATTGGTCAGTTCACTGCAGTTCACTCCAGGCTCAGAACGCCACCAAGCAGCAGTTACGTGTTTGGGGGGGGAAGTATAGACAGAAGAGAGGGCTTGCACCCTGTGGGTTTCCCTTGTCGATCAGCCAGAAAGTCTTGGCGAGGTTGGACTAGATGGAGCAGACTTCTTTCACATTATGAAGGACTGAATGCTTTGTGCTTACCTGTTGCCATGGGCTTGATAGCATAACAGTCACCTCCCCAGGTGAACACACACATACACATTGAATCCCATTGCTAATGCCAGCTTGGCACTGCAGAGCCATTCGCTTGTCTTGCATAACTGTGAGCATTCCTCGGGCTAAGAGGATAACTGACTGTGATGGAACTCCAAATCCCTGCTAATACGCTCAAGTCCACAGATGGGACTCTGGACTAACCTTTGGCTCTCAAAGCCACACTGCGAAGGCTGAACTGCCTGCCCTTCTCCAGAGAGAGCGAGAGATGCCAAGAATCTCTCAGCTTTCCAATCCTCTCATATCATACATACTCAGCATAGGTACATGGCCACAGGCAGAGGCAGATGGGGAAATAAAGATGTGGCTTGTTATATCACCATCTCGTAACCCTTCCCAGCACTCTGAAAATGAGCTGCTTGGGAATCAGGTGTCAAAATGTGGCTTAGTACTCCCTGGGACACAACAGATTCTGCACTGAACTAGAAGGGCAGACCAGGGTAAGTCCCACAGCAGCTGGTGAGAGCAGCACAGCCTCTGCTAGAGTAGGTACAGCTACCACCTCTGAAAGTAGCTCAGGTGCCTGTACTACGATCAAACATGAGAGATGCCATACAGTTACACTTGCCTACTGAATGCTTCAATATTGTAATGGATTCAGTATCTTTGGCAAATCCCTCCTGACTTCCAAAAATTAAAAGATCCATGTAGGTGGATTTTGGCAAAACCACCAAGGACAAATACAATCTCCCTCCCTCCCACACACACAGAGTGAAATTTTAACAGGCTTGTCATCTAAGTCAAGAAACAACTATGTGGTTCATAAAATCCATCAGTATGGCATGGGGCAATGATTAGGGTGCTTGATAGGATGCTACGTAATTTTATATACTGTCATTATTCCCTGTCTCCAAGGACCTTGGAGTGGCATACGTGTTTCTCTCAACATTCCAGTCAGCTTCCTACCTGTCTAGCTTCAGAAATACAACAAGGTCACTCTAAAATTAAGGCTCAGGGGAAGGATTTATTTCAGAAGTGGAATCTAGTAAATGCATGAGCTTTGAGTATGAAGCAGCTCTTGATGTCAAGGATCAGTATGATTTAGAACAGTTACAAAGATAACTGTTACATGCCCAGTCTTTGCCACCACCTTCCGAATGTGCATCTTAACAGCAAAACAATCTGGTGCGTCTCCGTGTTCAGAACTGATTATATACCTGCATGCACTTAAAAAATGCACATGCAACATAGCTTGTCCTTAAAACAAGATCTTTGCAAGACCACATCCAAAAGATTCTCCCTTACTTTTGCACTGGCAGATGAAATGAGATATGACCTTCTACCAATCCATCCTCATCTGTTGGAGGAAGCAAACTTTAGATAGGCCATGCAGAGAGAGTAGCAGTGTAGGCAAAAGACAAAGGAAGGGCAGACAAGAAAAAGTCACAGTTACTTCCTTTCTCAATGTTATTTTGAATTATTTTAAACAGGAAAGAACAGCCTGTGACCCTTCAGATGTTTTGGCCTACAACTCCTACCATCTCTTACCATTGCCTAAACTGGCTAGGGCTGAATGGAGTTACAGGCCAAAGCATCTGGAAGGTCACAAGCAGCCATCCATGATTTTAAAGGTACAAAGTGAATCTTTGCGTACCAACCTGGAAATGTTATCTTTTAAAAGTCATGAGGATCAAACAGTTTACTCACTACAGAAAGCCATATCCAGTTCATTTGCAACCAATATAGATTGCAATAAAGCAAACTGGGATAGTTCTGACTTTAACATAGACAAGTTGTGCTAAAATATTTCCTGCTCACCAGACATGAGAGCAAACTACTATCAACCAGACCTAGCCTGGAATAAGTATTTGGACACCACAGACTCTGCTGGGACACAAAACTTCATAACCACAGGGCATGCCTATATCAGCTGTCTGGACACATACAACTCACCAAATGCCCAACTATTGTTAAATGCAAAACAAAGCTGAAAAGCAGCTACTAAATCATAGTGCCTCGAGGCAAAAGCTGGTCCATTTTAGCTTAAGTTTACCTGTAAAGCACCATGTATGTTGATGATGCTACAGGAATACTATTCAGAGTTTGGGCAAGATGACTCAGGCTCAAACCCCCACTTTTAGTCAAATCACTAGTTGTGAGTTACTTGACCTCACCAAGTCAGTTGGCTGCAATACTTAAAATACATCAAGCTTACCCACAGTTCTCAAAGCAGGTTGCAAATATAATAGAATGGTAACTGCTAAGATAAAACAAAGGCCTAACTCTGACGAGTAACGTCAAAATAAAATTACTCAGGCTTTTAACTACTAATACTGAGTAGCAAATATACTACTCAAAACTCTTTGAAGAAAGGGTGACATACAACACTTTTGGCTATTGGGCAGGATAAAAATTAATTAAATGAACAAACTATAAGCAGAATCCACAACCTCCAGATGCACTTGATATAAATAACTTGGTTACGCCTACTAGTAGCAACATCTCAAAATTATTTCTCAAGTTCTGTCTTACTGCTAAGGTTACTAGGGCACATCCTTGTGCAAGAGAGATTAATGCAATTTCCTCACCTAGTTTGTAATGCCAATGGGTGCAGGCATGACTTGCTGCTCTGTCCTATCCCGGTGGTTCTCCCTAATCCTTTCGCGTCCTTAACACAACTTCCTCACATGGTTGGCTAGGAGAATGCTAGTTGTTGTCCAGCACACCTGGAGGGCACACGGTTAGAGGAAGCTGCCCAACGACTCCTCTCTGAGGACAACCCACCCACCCAGAAAACCCATTCGTTAATCCGTTAACTGCTTCTTTAATGATTCCGAGGGAGCTCCCCGCCGCCCGTTCTCATTTTTTTCCTCTCCAGATCCCCGTCGCAGCGTACTCACAATGCACTCCCGGACTCTCTCGTGAAAGAGCTGCTCCCGCGCGGACAACACATCGTGTTCCACGGGGTCCATTCTCTGGTCCACATGGTTGAAGGTTAAAAGGGCTGGCAGAGGAGCTGGGGGAAGGAGGGAACGGGGCTCCCAAAACCCCACCGCAGGAGCCACCGTGAAAAGAAGCCCTCTCGCTGCTGCTGCTCTCGCTGCTTCTTCCTCCTCCTCTTCCGTGGGCGCAACTTTGAGAACGTTTCAACACTCGACTCACGTCACAATGTCTCCGCCGCTACGGGAACTCCGCGTTCCATCCTTAAAGGGACACGGCAGCCCACCGGCTAACCTACTTCGGTAGCCCGCGACGGGAAAAGGAAAGGGAAGAGCTCCCAGCTTCACTTACCTCCCCGTCAAGAAAGCGCCGATTGGCTGCAGCGGGACTTAATCCAGGGCTCGTTTTTCATTGGCTGTCTCGGGAGACTCAGGCTCAAACTGGTAGGCTGAGTACAACGCTTATTATTTCGCTATCAGCCAGCCCTTGTTGACAGAATAATGAGGGTTTGCGCGTTTTTCTTTCCAGGATGGATCCATGTTCTTGCTTCTGCTCTGCTCGAGCTGCAAGGAGTTGACTGCTCCGTACAAGTTTGGTGCTTGGAGGGAGGAGTTTAAATTGGGAACGCAGATCCTGCAGCTGCCTTAAAAAAAAAAAAAAATCGGGACATAACTGTAGTAATCATCTGCTATAGATCTGGTTTGATTGTTATAGCGAACATCAAGCTGTAGAATGATGGATACTGAGGTGGGCGTTCCCCTGGTGCAATTCTTTCTTTTTGGCACTAGAATTACACATACTGTCTGTAGACGAAATAGCGAAGATCTCATAGGGCCAGGACACTTAAAATTGTGTACCCTGGGCAAGAGATTGGTCCATTAGCCATCACGGATACCAGACATGTTTGCTTGTTTACACACAAACACTATCCCTAAAGGGGATGGCCTTGGGTGTCCTCCAAAGCTGTGACAAATCCTCCAAGCCAGTCTTGGATGGATACAGGTGCTAGCCAAGGAACACGTGCATTTCTTAGTGTGAACAAGCTATCCAAACTGGGCAACACCTCATACTTGTGTTTATTTGCTATGATGTATAATTTTATTGCATCCCTGCTCAAAAGCACACAAGATGGCATATATTAAAACAGTTTCAGTTAAATTAAAGCAATAAATTTCATGTAAAACCCAATCCATGAGCAAGAACAGTGCAAATAACACAGCACAAAACCTCATATTAAGAGGACAGGATGTACAAATTTACAAAATGCAGCATTAAAAGGAAGCAGCATGAGTAATATGGACATTAAAACAGTTAGACAACAGGAATAAAAAGTCCAATAACAGTCTCAGCTAACAAAAGGAGCAAATTTCTCCACTATGTTTGAAGTTCTGCATTTTGAAAATTCAAGCTGTGGCAGGTGTGCATTCCTGCTTGTTGATATATGTAAACCCTGTGTAGGTGGGTTGTTGGGTGCTTAACAAACCTCCCGGAAACACGGCCTGCTCCAGTATTATGTGGGGAAAGTCACCCATGATTACTTCTTGTGACAAGCAAGATCAATATTGACTATGTGAAAAAGCTCTGGGCAGAAAAGCACTAGCCGGCTTCTCTTGGCAAATAATTTGAGTGTGGGTGCCACAATGGAAAAAGGTCCCAATTTATCTGAGCCAATGACACAGCATTAAATTCCTGACTACTAATTTCCGCTTATTTGAGACAATGCAATCTTGCTCTGAAGTCTTTTGTTCTCTCTCTCTCTCTCTTGCAGGCTTGTGTGCACGCGCGTGTGTATATATAATGATTAGAAGTCTTACATAACTTTTGCTTCAGCAAAGAAATGGCTTGCTAGAATTTTCATGTATTTCGAAACAATGCATAAATGATTTTTGCTTTAATGTGTTCTTTGTGAGATTGCTTTTGCAAGTTCCTTTCTCAGATTCTGGAGTATACCTAATTTTTCCCAATTTCCACCTCTGTTTCGAAAAATACTAACCAACTTATATTTATTGAGGATTTGCCTTGGAAAACCTACTTGTGGTTAGGCAATCAGCTAATTACAATTTCATAACCCCAGATATTGACAATCTATTGCTAACCATTATTTTCTTCATCTGACTGGCTACATTTGTTATTGTGATTTTCTTATGGGAATACAGAGAAATAACTTTTCCATCCCTCCCCACGGAATTTTATCAGACCAGTGCTATAAACAAATTATGCTGTGCGGGTGTTGTACAGAAGAGAATTCCATTGACACTGTGGCAGTGTAGTGACTATTGCATACATCAGATGAGCAAGACGTAGCTTTGACCCCAGTGTGGCCTTTGCCATTGCTGGCCAAGAGATTGCTGGTTTGCCACCAATTAGAAGGTGAAAACAGACTGATTTCAACCACTTTCAGCCTAAAGCTGTCCATCTTAGCTTTCTGTTGCAGCTTTCCACCAAAAATTGCCAGCAAATCACTGATTTAGCAGCACAAGTGAGGCTTGCAGGGAGGTAGCAAAAATGGCTCTCCAAGGTGCATGTTCAGGTCAGGAGTGGAGGGAACTCAGGATAAGAAAACTCAGAAGAAAAATTGCATTAGAAAGTCACACCCACAACCTCTCTGGCACCACTGCCAATGGCCGCCATTCAGGGACTGTGTGGCCAGTTGCTCCTGCATGCACCCACATGCATGGGGAGAGCCAGTGGGCTCAGTATACCCTCTGCACGCACCCTTCCTCACTGCTCGTAACACTTTGCCGCGGTGCCCCAGCCCATCAGCCTTAGCGACACAGCCTGCAACAGCGCCCCCGCTGCCAGTGCCCAGACAGAGGGACTGCGGCTCGAATCCCATGATGCGCCTTGCAGCTGGTGACTTTGCAGGATCATCACCATCCTCTCCAGTAGTGAGCAGCTTCTTTTCTTATCTGCACTGCAAGCATGCATGAACACAGCTCTGCAAGTGCCTCTGTGGAAGCAATGTTTGTAATATCTAGCTTGAGAATGTGGTGGGTTCTGATGACCATTTGCAGCAAGAGGCGCAGACTTAGAGTAAGCAAGAGGAGCCTTTTCCTATGAAGAGCCTTTGACATGGAATACGATTCTTATTATGACATAATCATAGGGGTAGTCAGTTGAGGTAGGTGAGAACACTGGCGATAATTGCAAGGCCAACACTGGGAGAAGTCTAGAGGATTCCACAGCGTTCTGCTACCCATTGTGAAATTGCAAGATCCTATCTGTGAATTTCATCCTGTGCAGAGCTGGCAAGCGTTCCCACCACACCTTCTGACACAATGTGTGGATTAGTTCACTATATGCCAGGGTGACCAGACTTGCTGAACAGAAGAGACACAATGCAGTAAATGCCAGGTGTTTGAGAGCTGCAAGCAGGTGCCCACAGGTGGTAGCGAGCAGCAGGTGGGTGCCCGTGGGTGCCCACAATGGCCAGCAGCAAGCCGCAAAATAAATCCAAAGAGCCACATGTGGCCCCCAAGCCTCACCTCTGCTATATGCATTCCTGCCATCTATATAGAGCAGAAGTAGCTAAGGCCAAATCCAGCCCTCCAGGGTTTTTCCAGGCCCTCTTTCTCCTACGTATCTTTTGGTAATTCCCCAGCCTTTGTACAGTTTTGTTTGCTTTTCTCTCTTAAGGCTTTGTTACCACCGTAAAGGATTTAAGCTAAAGTATATTTTTATTTTTGGCCTTGCCTCTTTTGTCACTTTGGCCTTAGGCTCTGGGCATCACCGGAAACCTGGTTGCATGACCTTCTCCAAAACTAAATTCAGCCCCCAAGCTGAAAAAGGTGCAACATTCCTTAGACTCTGCAGGTGACCAGCTCACCATATTATTAAAACCATTAAATAGGGCTCTATTTTATGATTGTCACCTGCCAGTGACAGAGTGTTGGTTTTGTCGCACAGCAGAGCGTAGCTGCCCAGAGGCACCTCTCATAAACAGCAGCCGGTTTTCCTTATCTTCTGATGACATTACTTGGTGCTGACAGATTTTCCAGTTCCAGGCTTGTTCAGCACCCTCTCCCAGGAACAACCATATGTATGTAGTGCCATCTAGAGGCTTTGCAAGAATTAGAAACCTATGGGAGGGCTGAGAGAAGGAATTACGTTTGTTGCAGAGGTCACATCCCTTCAAAAGAGTGTTCATTTACACAGCTTACAGTTCAAATTCGTTGGAGTGCTCAGCTCCAGAAGCTGTTCTGTTCTGAATCCAAGCAGTCAGGCTTGCAATCTCTATGAGCAGATGACACTCCTCAAGCCCGTGTGATTACAGCCGGCTTCCACAAGTTGGAAAGCAAATGCGGACCAGAGGGCAATGGCTTTCCTGTCTACTTGATCGCTGGCATCTCTCCTGTTTGGTAGTAACCACTGGCTTGAGTTTAATGTATCACTTAGTCAAGCAATGGCACTGGTACAGCTGGCTCTCAGGGCTGAAATGCAGGGGCTGCCCAGTCCGCAAGCGCACCCACCTACCCCATGGCAGCACGTGGTCTGGGAATAATAGGGCCCCCAGGTCCAGTGCTGCTCATGGCAATATCCTTCTGTTCTTCTGCCATGGGAAAGCATCTTAGGGTCAGGAGCCAGCTGGCTGGGCACACATCTGGCCTGCAGTGCTCATTGTACGAAATCATGGCATCCTCACGATGACAGGAATAAAACTTACAATGCATTTTGTTGTAGAAAGGGATTGTGTATATACTACCTTTTATACAACAAAATTTTATGCCTGTCATCATGAGGGTGCCATAATTTAACTGAGTTTAAAATGTGAAATGGCAGATACTAAAAAGTATTTAAATTATTTTTAAAAGTATAATTTGCAGGTGAGGTTCATGTTTGCTTTGTTTGCTATCACATGTAAGGAATGCAGAAGCAGTTGTAAAGGGTGGAAAGGCATTGTGTGGTGGTGGGAGAGAAGAGGAATGTTGATTCCTCTTTACATGTGTAAATAATACACATGGCAAAGGTTGGGGCCTAGTTGTTGTAAAACCGTTAAGTCCAGGGTCTAAAATTAGCTCTCTGCACTGCAGAGCTCAATCCTGCATGTTTCATAATCCATCAAGCTGAACACAACCCGAATATTGAGGCTAGCTGGGCATTTGACCCTGACGTGTCCCCTTTTTGCCACCTCGGACAGGAACAGTGCGGTATAGCAAGCTCCTTGGGAGCTACCCTACATACCAAGCCACCTCGCCTGTTTTTGACTTGGTAAGTTGCATGTCGAAAAGATGCATGTCAATAAGAATACCTTCAGCACAAAGACATCTTCTTTTGTCCTGCTGTCAGCTGGTAAGAAGTATTTTTCCACACAAGTAGGTTGGATATCTGAATTTTC